ATAAATGTAAAGCTGCATTGATGAGAATCTGGCCAACTTTAAATCTGTGAGAAGAAACTTTAAAATGTGTAACCCTCATGATGTAAAGTTAAACCATTCTAAGAAACTGATCATCAAGTTTAGCTTTACTGACTTCAACACTGCAGATGAATCCATAGAGGCTAGAATTAGCGACCCAGTTGCACTAAAGTTTAAACAATAAGATCATAGGCACGATGTATTCAAGAGAGTGGTGTAGCATTACATAAAAGCCCTAACGAGGTATAAGAGTAAGACTATCAGACAGGAACTACTTTCAAACACAAAATGTCTTTTTGAAGAAGTTGTATTTTACTTTCAATACAAAAGGTAAACACGGCATAAAGACAGCAAGTTTACCTTTTTATTCTCTTGACCTACAGAATTTCAGAAAGTGCCTTTGTTGTCAAATCCTAAAACTATATCTTCGAGGTGTGTTTCTTCCCCTAACTCCCATACAAGTCAAAAGTTTACTCAAGGTGACTTTGACGTTGGCTGTGGTGTTGGGGGTAATGGGACAATGTGTCGTATCTGTCCCTGACATATTTTTCAGTGCTAATGTTTTTCTGCCGGTGAGGGTAGCTGTGGATGCTTCAGGACGTTACACATGCGTGCACACACACTGTCACACCGCTCAGCTCTCTGGCTCTGCTGCTGTCATCCAGGTCAGAGGGGTGGGGAGATGTAAGAAGTAGCACTGGAGAGAGAGAAGAAATGTAAAAAAACACACCACTATAAGTCTTACGTTCCTTGGTTCATCTCTAAAGCCATCTTTCTTTATGAACTAGCTCAAAAGAAGCATCTTTAATTTGTCTGTGTTTTCACAACAGTCATGTTGCAAATAAGACAGAAAAAATACATCCCAGACAGTACTCATTTATTTGATGAGTGGCAACAGTACTTTGTAATCTCATTTTAAACCAGACGTTTCACTTCAGCAACCACAGCTATGTTTTTGTAAGATGCACATATGCGTATACTCAGTGAAGTGTGAGCTTTTGTGTGCCAAATCAATCGCCCGGAATTTAGCATGAGCAGAAGGGGGAAACTTGTTGTTTTCTTGGCACATGCTGTTTGTGGGTTTAACAGAGTCTGTGTGAGAGTCAGTATGAGTGAGAGCTTCATCCAAAACAAGTCTCTGATAGGTAAAGAGAACACACGCACACATTCGGCAGCACGGTTTTGAAGCAGGATTAATTGGAAATGAACTGCTGGGTTCCCTCATGTGCTGTTGAGTGTTTGTTGGGAACCATCCCAGCTGTAGTTAAGAGCCTCTGGGTGCTTCTTCATCTGAAGCACAGAGAACAAGCTACTCACTTTTCTAGCTGCTGCACACAATACAGGCTGAAAATAAGCAGTGGCATCAGCTTGTGTGCCACATTTCAGAGGAATATTAGATTGTTCAAAGACATCAGTAACCAACAAATCACAAAGAGTCCATCTTTCTTCTACATATAGAACTGCTAAATCTCAGAGTCATTCTTACCCAGTGGCCTCGATCTAACCGCCTTATTCTCTATTTTCAAATGTTCTGATTCTGGGCTCGATTACTCAAACTGTTTGTTGAAAAGGATAAACACATATCGATTTATATCATTATTTCAATATGTATTTAATCTAAATGTAACCCGACCACAGGCGAAGAGTCTTGCAGAGACAAAAAGGGGGGAGGGCTTTTTTGATGGAGAAGAGGGTAGAAGGGGAACTTGTTGGTGGAGAGTGATGAAGGGGCACACATGAGCCAGGTGGTTACAAAGGCCAGGGGCGATGCTAGGGGCTTCCCTCCAGGACGAGAGGTACTGTACAAGCAGTCAACTGCCATCTATCACCTGAGTGTGTGTGTCAGTGTCTGAATGTGTGTGTGTGTGAGAGAAGAGAGTGGGGGGGGGGGCCTGTCATAATGCTCTAATCCTGAGTGACATTTATCCAATGGAGGCTTCGCTCATTCATCCATCCATCACGTTCTATCCCTCCTTTCAATCCTTTGCTCTGCGCTTTATGTCTTTCCCTCCCTCTCTGCTTGTTGCTTCAGACAGACAGTCAAACCAACCCTGCATACCAAGTACTTACACACACACACACACACACACATACACTGAAATTACAACTCCGGCGTAGCATCGTAGATGTGGTTTTACATTTTTAGTTGTACAGATGTGTGTGTGTGTGTGTGTGTGTGTGTGTGTGTGTGTGTGTGTGTGTGTGTGTGTTCATCAGCCATGACAGATGAAATGGGAGATGCTTGCCTTAGTTGTGTTTGACGCTCAGCGGGGTCACAGCAGTAACAGACATGTATTTACAGCACACTGAAAGCTCCCCCAGCTGACACATGCACACACTCACAAGGAGGTCTTTCATGCGACAAGCTCCCAAAAGGTAATAATATAAAACACTCAGCAGGAGAAGTAACCCCGGACCCCTTCTACCCTTTTCTCTCTTTCCTCCCCTCTTGGCCTTTCTCCACTGTTCCCCCTCTCTGTGTTGCTCTCCCTCCGTGTGCTAAGTATAGCAGCAGTAATGGTGATGGATGCAGATGGAGGGAGCAGGTCTTAAATGTCAAACTCAAATGAAAACCAGTGTTCCACTGAGACAAAAGCAGCTGGACACATCCAGTGTTATTTAACACTTGTACACTTACAAGCAACCACTCACAGATGAGGTTCTGCACTGCCCCAGACTATGTTATAATGAAAGAAATGGACGCTCAGACCAGTGCAAACTAATTTGAACGAAATGATGTTCTTAGAGAATATCATAGTTGCTCTTGTAAGCAGTCAAAAGGATGCAAGCGATTTTCTAGACAGTATGAGTAGCAGCATTACCGGCATGTTAGTGGTTAATTACACAGGCTGGGTCATAAGATAAGATAATTGGTAAATGTTTGCGTTGCAACAGCAAAAAAACACACAGGCATTGCACATAAGTAGAAATTAAAGAGTAAAAAAACAATACTAGAATTTAAACTAGAAAAAAAAATTGAATCAAGCAGCATTAAAATGTGGAAAATATACAGCTGACCATGAAGATAAGACATCCATAAACTCTGACATTCATCAGAGCTGCTGAGGCTGCTTGTCTATGTGTGTTCTCGCCTATATGCTAATTACAAACGACTATCTCTACTTTAATGAAGGCAATGTTTATGTCTTGAAACTTGCAATGAACAGAAACAATCCTCCGCAGCCGAATGCGACAAAAGAGAGCTTTTCGTCTTCCTCTCTCCAAATGAAGGACAGATGTTCATCAGCTCTTTTGTCTCTGAAGACTTTGAGGCAGACAGTCTTGATATACTCTCTGTAGGACTGAGTGTGTCTGCTCAATGATTCAGAGGGATGAGCTCATCCACACCATATTAACGGGTGAGTCAGTGTGTAGGTTTTTTTATCAATGGAGAACAGAGTGTTTATTCTACTCTGCACATTTTTCACAAAGTTGCTATATCAGGTCTTTACAGGGCCGGGCTATTAATGCAAGGGCAAACCCAGCATGAGAATCCTTGTATTTATCCGATAATGAGGCTGTTTGTAGCCTTAAATGTCTTCAAACGATGTCCAGCCCCTATAATCCCGCCTAAGTGTGATTTAATTGAGATGATGCAAATAAAGCATTTAAAAAATGGGCTTTCTTGTGTTTTTATGTGTGGGCCAGAAGACAAAGCCGAGGGAGGTGGGAGATTAGTGTCGGACAAAGGTGATTCAGTGGAGCCATACAGTCTAACGCGATGCTTTGTCTGTGGTTAAAGGGCTCATTTTCTACTATACTGCAATACTGTAGGGACTCTGCATGAATGAAGAGAGGAGGAGTAGGACCTCTCCATCACTCCGACTATGACCTTCCAAGAGTCACGCTGCTATAGAGTACAGAACTAATGCCTCAGTATATTATGGGAATATGCTGCATTATCATTATGCCTCTCCTTCTCACTATCGCTCTCCCAGTCTTTCTCTCAAACTCTGAAACGCAATGCAAAGACACACACACACATTCAGGAGTGTTTCTCCTATACAATATTTGATGATGAAATATTTGCGCACTGCAGGTTGGAGAAACATAGAGAAACAGAACAGGAGAAAAATGGAGAGTAGGGCTGCTCAATTATGGCAAAAATCATAATCTCGATTATTTGGGTCAATAATTGATATCACGATTATTAAAAACGATTTAATGATTTACTTTGAAAACATCCATCTATTGGAGAATTTTCTTTTGAACAGTATGTTTTTAACAGTTGATTACCCTGAACTTTAAGTATAACTCAACTGAAAAACCAAAAAGAAAGAAACATTTTTTTTTTTTAAATAATAATACAAAAATAATCGTTTTATTTCGATTACGTTGTTTTCGTAATCGTTGCAAGCCATCATCGTAATTGCGATTAAAATCCGATTAATTGAGCAGCCCTAATGGAGAGAGCAAGTGAGTTGAGCCTTGTGAGCGGCTATTCTTCCTCTCTGCTCTGTATTGTATGTGAAGCAGTAGTTGTAGTCACTTCAGGAGATAACATATAGACTTCCCGGACGAGAGCAAGGTCAACACAGGCGCCATAGCGACACTCACTAATGCATGTGCACAATGCCCACAATCTTGCACACAATAGAGGGTGAGGAGAGAGGGAGGACCGAGGGAGATAAGCGCAAAATGTCACCACATTATTTTTCAGGAGAAACAGCCGGAGAGGAGAGCAGTCACATTTTTAACTCTAATCTTGCCAAATGTTCATTGATTCACGTGTCATGGTGTATTGATGGATGCCATTCATATGATACCAGAGTTCAATGCCTCCGATCTAAAATAACAAGATGTTGCTACCATCAGTAGCTTTGACCTGTGCTGTGTTGTTTTTTTTGTAAGATTACTGTTGAAGTCTTTCATGGTCCGTGTGATTGATGATCTCGAGTTAATGGAACTGGTCTGAGTTAGATGGAGGTCCTTGACTGGAAGATGCACTATAGACTTCAGAGTGTTTGTGTGTGTGTGTGCAGGGCAGGATCGCAGCGAGTCGACTCTCATCAGGCGTTTTAAGGGCGATGGCGTCCGCTACAAGGCCAAGCTCATCGGCCTGGACGAGGTCACTGCCGCCCGTGGAGACAAACTCTGCCAGGACTCGATGATGAAGCTCAAGGTAAGGAAGGTCTCTTTCCTCTTCTCTTTTCTCTCTGTTGATGTGTCGTAAATTAAAAAATGTACCTGCTCTTTGAAGTTACTGCCTAAAGCTTGCTTCTATGTAGATCTAAGTAGGAAACATAGATGAAAATGAGGATGCTAGGATGGGGAAGTACACATTGTGTATGAATAAGAAGGGGATCGTTGTGAATGTTTCCACAAGAACAGGAGAAATAAGCCATTTATTTATGCCTTTATAATATATGAAACCCTAACAAAGAAGCTGACTTATATATTATTACTGTAAGTTGCAGATGGAGAACACTTTTCTTTATTACCTGGACCTTACAGTGAATACAAAATGTTTCTTATTTTTACACAAATGTGTGCTGAGAGAAAACGATGAGCGCTTTATTCATTATTAATCGTCCTTTATCACACGGGATCATCGCACTGCAGGAGATATTCGAATAGAGAAAATTGCATTTACGTTTTGTTTGTATGTAGTGAAAACTCTATCCAGCCGGGGTGTAGAAGGGTGAGGAGAGGAGAGACAGCCCATTGATCAAACAGCTTCCCTCCTCCTCATTTATTCAGACAGGAAATCCATCAACTCTTTTTCTCTGATCTCCCCACCTCTTCTTTCATACTGCTCCTCCCTCTTCTCGCCCGACTCTCAATTGTCTGATCTCGCGCCTTTCTTTTCTTCTGCTTTTGTGACTCCCCTATGCAAATGGTGTCGGGGTGGATGTTTGAGGGAGTGCCACCGTTAGATACACTTGTAGAGTTATAAATCAGTTATGTTGTCATCAATTGTTGCAATTTACCTTTTCGCTGTGTCTGCCTTCTCCGCTATTATTGATTTCCTACGATGCTTCTCAGCAGGTAAGGTTTTGCATTCACCTGAACAGAGCAACCATAGCTTGATACTAGATAAGACATATTTGGTGGATGTTTGTGTTCCACCTTAAATAGCTTTTATAGCTTTCAAAGATTTAAATGGACTATTCTTACTTCTGTGGATCGGGGAATGATATCACTTCCTCTTTGGTGATTTCCTTCAACTGGCAGTTATTGGATAGTTAAAGAAATATCCATGTATGGGCTTACATTCCCATGAATTAAAGTCATATGTTTCTGTCCTGCTTCTAACATTGTTTGTTCTTGATGTGTGCGTGTCCTCAGGGTATAGCAGCAGGAGCGCGGTCTAAAGGAGACCACAAACAGAAGGTGTTTCTGACCATCTCCTTTGGAGGGATCAAGATCTTTGATGAGAAGTCAGGGGTAAGCTCAGAAGTGTGTGTGTGTGTGTGTGTGTGTGTGTGTGTGTGTGTGTGTGTGTGTGTGTGTGTGTGTGTGTGTGTGTGTGTGTATATAC